TGCAAGTTGCAAAACTTACTAAATGCCCAAAAGAGACAAATGCCCAAAATTAACAATTGTAAACCGCTTTGAGACTCAGATCTGCAGTGAAAAGGCGGTATATAAATAAAAACTTACTTACTTACTAAAACTTAGTCATTGAAGAATGAAATGCAGACCTACATTATATTATATATATATATATATATATATATATATATATATATATATATATATATATATATATATATATAGTGCAAGCAACTATGTTTATTGGCAAAAACAAACGATTCATACAGATCAGAAGTGTTCGTAGCAGCCACATCATATTCACAACTACAGACAGCTAATGCTAATGGCTAACGCTAATGCTAACGCTAATGCTAATGCTAACAGCGAACGCTAATGCTAACACCATTTCACGGGGGAACTCTGGTGATATGGTCATTTAATGTTGTACATGTGGGGAACTAATAATTGACCGGAGTTTATGGATGGCTGAGGCTGGGCTAAGGCTTCGATGTTGTGTTGTCTGTTGTTGTTTCTCAAAGCTAAGCCAAGGTAATGCGCAGTTATTGCCACAAAATGCGGCCGTATTTCTACAACAGCTGGGGATTTTTAACTAGCTAACTTGATGAAAACCCGCATTACAGTCTCAGGCAACAATATGTATAAATAATACAACTACTACTGCCACTACTGAGTAACATGCTCACCTGTTCAGTCGGAGAGAGGAATCCACGGAGCTAGAGGTCGCCAACATGAATGCAGCTGGTCACCATGTTGCTCCTACTTTTTGTCGTTCCTCTGTTTCTGGCGTTTTGCCTGTATTTAATAGATCCATGCCATGGTATTTAGTCTGCAGCAGCGCTGGAGGCGGCTTTTCCTTCTCCGCCATGTTTGTTTTGAAGAGTGCGCGTGCACACACGGGAGAAACCCCTTATAAGGCGTGCTCTCTCGTCATTGGATAAGCGCATAGGATGTGAGGTTTTTTTATTATATAGGTTGGAGAAGACTGGAAGGACTGAGAGATCCGTGTTTAGGTACAAACACTCTATATAAGTGATGTCTATTGGAATATATCAATATTTAAGACGTATATTAACACCCAAAAATCGCTTACTGCTGCTTTAACTTATTTTAGAGCTGTATTTGTTGTTAATAAAACAAAACATTCTGTATCGTTCTGTGTTAATGTATATTATCATGTACTGATTCTTTTTCTAATTTGTTGTTGTTTTGTTGTTCTTTGTTCTTGTTTGCCATGGCTCGAAAAAAATTGTTCCTTCATTTTACAGAATACTTTTTTCCAAATACATTGCAGAGAATACTTTACACAGAGCATACAGTAGTGGTGTGGCACCCTTTGGCCCGGTTGGTGTCGGTTTGGTTCTTATCTACAGATTATTATAAAACATAAGCTCCTCACAGCAGCAGTAAAACACTATTGATCTGAATTTCAAAATGTTCTATTGGTCATAATAAATCTGTGTCTGTAAATCACGTGTGTCAGATCACTCTGCAAGTAGTTCCGGCCGCTTCTGTTTCTGAAAGAATCTGGAGATTCGCTGCTTAGGTAAACGAGAGTCAGACTTGGAACCCAGAGATTCACTGACTCCTCTTCTCCAACTGCAGCTTCAACAGGAACAGTTTCAAATTAAAACTGCAAGCGGCATCTAACGGCCCTCGCCACACCGCGCAAAGCAGGTGGCGCTGACGCGCCATTTTCGCACTGCCCTGATGGGAGCGACACTGTGCATTTTGAATGCCTATGATCAGTGACTGTGAGTCTCTATTGAAAAGGTAAACCCCAGTCTCTCCATGTAACACTTGTATCACTCTGTAGGGGGCGCTGATGCTGCATTTCCATGATTTACACGTTCAGTTTACTCAAACCCAAGAGTTGGACTATCAAATCAAATTTTGTGCAAATCGGACTTTGTTTATGCAAATGGTGTTATTTAATGTTGTACAATAGCGCCCCCTACCAATTCAAATTTGTTGTCTTATACCAAAGAACACAAAAATAATACACTTTATGCCTAAAAAAAACTTGTGGTAAAATGTGGTGAGTGTTTGTGTTTGTTCAGTCGGTCAAATATGAGATCAAACAACAGAAAACCTAAATACCTGTATCCCCATGTAAACCTATACTCAGCCTGTAGGGGGCGCTTATCAGCCAATCTTATTGTTCACACTGTCATGTGACCTAGGCCCAAGAGTTGAACAACAGAGTCAAGTTTAGTGCAAATCAGAGTTTGTAAATGTGCTCCTGTTTGCACATACAATCTGTGAGTGTGTCCATACAGTCTCCATTGGATAACATGGGAACTTTACACCTCTCTATGAAAATAACCCCACTTTGGAAGTCCGTCACGCGCAGACTGTTTGACTAATTAAAATTCTATATTCAACTATTGATGGTCCATGTGTTGAGACGATGTGGAGCGATTTTCAGACAAATTAGTGAAATGGCCACGGCTGGTTTGATGTTTGAGCGAGGTGTACTTTTCAGAGATATAATGACTTTCACATAGACACAGACTGGGGAGTGTTGGTCGTCGCCACGGAAACAGTGTAAAAAATAACCATATGTTGTCCTTGACTTTTTGAATCCAGATGAAAAAACAGAATTATGTGCAAAATTTCAAACAATTTGAAAAAACGAAATTTTATTAGGCCCATGTAAAACTTTGACATAGTCTGTAGGGGGCGCTAATGAGCCAATTTCAATATTTCCACTTTCAAATGACCTAGACCCTGGAGCTGAACAATGGATTAAAATTTTGTGCAAATCCGGCTTTGTTTGTCCAAACGGGAGCAAATTTACTTTTGTCCAAAATTGAAAAAAAAAAAGGTCACATTTTGCCGCTACGCTGCTCGGACAACGTTTAATTGATCCAAATTCTATATTCAATAATTGATGGTACATGTGTTTAGACCATGTGAAGCAATTTTGAGACAAATCGGTGAAACGGCAGAGGAGGAGATAATTTCCAACCGACATGTGTGAAAAAAAACAATTTTCATTTTTCCATTTCCCATTGAAATTAATGAGCTTCCTGTTTGTCAGGGGGCGGAGCCATAATAACTTTTTTTTCATGTCTTGACCTGAGGAACATGTGTACCGAGTTTCGTGGCTCTACGACAAACTTGACCTCCGACTCCCTCCCATAGGCGCAATGTAAACTGACTTTTGTAGGGGGCGCTGTTCTGTCATTTTTTTAGTCCCATAAAAATAAACATCAAAAAAATTAACGCGCTCGTCAATCACCTCGCCGTCATGAGGTCACCCACCCCCCCATAGGATCCCATTCATTACACTGTGTACTACAGCAGGAGCAAAGCCATTCAGTGCCTCCGGCACTGTTTTGTCAGTGTCTGGGCGCCGTCGGGCTTGGGGGACGAATGTCCGGGCGAAGACAGTTGAAAGAACCCACCTTTAATAGGACCTCAATCATTTCACTGTGTACGACAGCAGGAGCAAAGCCATTCCGTACCTCCGGCACGGATTTATCAGTGCTTGGGCACGTGACGTCGCGTGCAGGTCACAATCTCCGGGCGGAGTGACTTATGACAGTTACAACGAGTAATGCCTGGGCTTCGCCCAGGAAAAGCAATAGGCCCTTACCACGGTTGGGGCTCGGGCCTAATAAATCAGTAGCTAGCTTAGTGGTTACTAGCCTAACTGTTACTAGCCTAGCTGTCACTAGCCTATCTGTTACTAGCCTAGCTGTTGCTAGCAAAACTGTTGCTAGCCTAGCTGTTAAGGCAAAAGTGACTGAAGTTAAGTCTGTGAGTAATGTATAAATAATGTATAAATAATGTATAGAAACTCCAAAGTTAGGGCCCAACACAAAGTTCACATTTTTAATGAATTGTAAATGAAATGCGGGTGACATGTAGCTCAGTTGGTAGAGCATTGGCCTTAAGGCCAGAAGGTCGTGGGTTCAATTCCCACCTCTACACCTTCTCCACCGACTCCCACTGATGACTGCTGTCGTTGTGTCCTTGGGCAAGACACTTAACCCCACTTTGCCCAAAGCCCCCACTGAAAGATCAAGGCTATGCTCACACTCAGAGCAGCCGTCCTCCTGTGGACTCACCACCTGCAGAGGGTCAGTGAGGGGCTGGTGCTATGAGACTTGGGTGGCATCTCTGACTGCCACCCCCCTGACCCAGAAATGGATTAAAGGGTAGAAAATGGATGGATGGATGGATGTAAATGAATGATTTGATGAATTTTATATTTGCAGATTTTAAACGTGTGAATGTGTCCTGAAGCCAAAGTGTTGAACATTAGAGTGTGTTGCTAAAGCACTAAAGGCAGCGCCATGTAACTGTTGGGTTCATATCAATAAACAAATAAACAGATAAATATAAATGTGAGACTGAAGCTGCTAAAGCTAGTTTAGCACAATAATTACATGACATTAATCATTACTTTAATATAATTACATGACATAATAATTACATAATTACATGACATTAATCATTACTTTAATAATAATTACATGACATTAATCATTACTTTAATAATAATTACATGACATTAATCATTACTTTAATAATAAAGTGTTTTACTGGAAGGAAACAGTTTGAGTGTTTTCCAAGAAATCAATGATCAGTGAAAACTAAACCACAATCTCAGAAATAGCAGCGACGATGACGAGCTCTGAACCTCACACGTTTGTTCACTGACAGCTGAAGGAAACCGGAGCCACACTCGGGCCGAAGACCCGCAGCAGCACTTCATCCTGACACTTTTGACGTGAACAGAATAAATATATAACGGGTTGTGTTTCTGCGTTATTCACCGAGACGCCGCGAGGAGGCGGAGCTATGGATCGGTAACGGAGACCGGATTGATCCACTGAGTGTGTGTGTGAGTGAGTGTGTATGTGAGTGAGTGTGTGAGTGTCTGTGTGTGTGTGTGTGTGTGAGTGAGTGTGTATGTGAGTGTGTGTGTGTGTGTGTATGTGAGAGAGAGTGTTGCTGCCCGTCCATTCTCACTCACACAGGGTTCTACATTTCATTTGTCGACCCTCAGCTCCCTCAGGCTGAGGACCAGAACCTCCCTCAGGCTGAGGACCAGAACCTCCCTCAGGCTGAGGACCAGAACGTCCCTCAGGCTGAGGACCAGAACCTCCCTCAGGCTGAGGACCAGAACCTCCCTCAGGCTGAGGACCAGAACCTCCCTCAGGCTGAGGACCAGAACCTCCCTCAGGCTGAGGACCAGAACCTCCCTCAGGCTGAGGACTAGAACCTCCCTCAGGCTGAGGACAAGAACCTCCCTCAGGCTGAGGACTAGAACCTCCCTTTGGGCTGAGGACCAGAACCTCCCTCAAGCTGAGGACTAGAACCTCCCTCAGGCTGAGGGCTAGAACCTCCTTCAGGCTGAGGACTAGAACCTCCCTTTAGGCTGAGGACCAGAACCTCCCTCGGGCTGAGGACTAGAACCTCCCTCACGCTGAGGACTACAAGCCCAGAACCTCCCTCAGGCTGGGGACCAGAACCTCCCTCAGGCTGAGTACTAGAACCTCCCTCAGGCTGAGGACTAAAACATCCCTCAGGCTGAGGACTAGAACCTCCCTTTAGGCTGAGGACCAGAACCTCCCTCAGGCTGAGGACTAGAACCTCCCTCAGGCTGAGGACTAGAACCTCCCTTTAGGCTGAGGACCAGAACCTCCCTCTGGCTGAGGACTAGAACCCCAGAACCTCCCTCAGGCTGAGGACCAGAACCTCCCTCAGGCTGAGGACTAGAACCTCCCTCAGGCTGAGGACTAGAACCTCCCTCAGGCTGAGGACCAGAACCTCGCTCAGGCTGAGGACTAGAACTTCCCTCAGGCTGAGGACAAGAACCTCCCTCAGGCTGAGGACCAGAACCTCCCTTTAGGCTGAGGACCAGAACCTCCCTCAAGCTGAGGACTAGAACCTCCCTCAGGCTGAGGACTAGAACCTCCTTCAGGCTGAGGACTAAAACCTCCCTTTAGGCTGAGGACCAGAACCTCCCTCGGGCTGAGGACTAGAACCTCTCTCAGGCTGAGGACTACAACCCCAGAACCTCCCTCAGGCTGGGGACCAGAACCTCCCTCAGGCTGAGGACTAGAACCTCCCTCAGACTGAGGACAAGAACCTCCCTCAGGCTGAGGACTAGAACCTCCCTTTAGGCTGAGGACCAGAACCTCCCTCAGGCTGAGGACTAGAACCTCCCTCAGGCTGAGGACTAGAACCTCCCTTTAGGCTGAGGACCAGAACCTCCCTCTGGCTGAGGACTAGAACCCCGGAACCTCCCTCAGGCTGAGGACTAGAACCTCCCTCAGGCTGAGGACTAGAACCTCCCTCAGGCTGAGGACCAGAACCTCCCTCAGGCTGAGGACAAAAAACTCCCTCAGGCTGAGGACTAGAACCTCCCTTTAGGCTGAGGACCAGAACCTCCCTCAAGCTGAGGACTAGAACCTCCCTCAGGCTGAGGACCAGAACCTTCCTCAGGCTGAGGACTAGAACCTCCCTCAGGCTGAGGACTAGAACCTCCCTTTAGGCTGAGGACCAGAACCTCCCTCTGGCTGAGGACTAGAACCCCAGAACCTCCCTCAGGCTGAGGACTAGAACCTCCCTCAGGCTGAGGACCAGAACCTCCCTCAGGCTGAGGACTAGAACCTCCCTGATGCTCCTGATTATCTGCTTCAGTAAAAATTGTAACTCCTCCTCTTCCTCTCCTCCTCCTCTCCCTTTCCTCCTCCTCCTCTTCTTCTCCTCCTCCTCCTCTCGCTCAAATCCTCTCTCCTCCTCTCTCCTCCTCTTCTCTCTCCTCCTCCTCCTCTCCCTCTCCTCCTCCTCCCTCCCTCTCCTCTCCCTCTCCTCCTCCTCTCCTCTTCTCCCTCTCCTCTCCCTCTCCTCCTCTCCTCCTCCTCCTCTCCCTCTCCTCCTCTCTCCTCCTCTCCTCCTCCTCCTCTCCCTCTCCTCCTCCTCTCCCTCTCTTCCTCTCCCTCTCCTCCTCCTCTCTCCTCCTCTTCTCTCTCCTCCTCCTCCTCTCCCTCTCCTCCTCTCCCTCCCTTCCTCTTCTCTCTCCTCCTCCTCTCCTCTTCTCCCTCTCCTCCTGTCCTCTCCTCTCTCCTCTCCCTCTCCTCCTCTCTCCTCCTCCTCCTCTCCCTCTCCTCCTCTCTCCTCTCCTCTCTCCCCTCCTCTCCCTCCCCTCCTCCTCTCTCTCTCTCCTCCTCCTCCTCCTCTCCCTCTCCTCCTCTCCCTCACTTCCTCCTCTCTCCCCTCCGCTCCCCTCTCCTCCTCCTCTTCTCTCTCCTCCTCCTCCTCTCCCTCTCCTCCTCTCCCTCTCCTCCTCTCCCTCCCCTCCTCTCCCTCCCCTCCTCTCCCTCACTTCCTCTTCTCTCCTCCTCCTCTCCCGCTTCTCTCTCCTCCTCTCCCTCTCCTCTCTCCTCCTCTCCCCTCCTCTCCCTCTCCTCCCCTCTCCTCTCCCCTCCTCTCCTCCTCTCTCCCCTCCTCTCCCTCTCCTACTCTTTTCTCTCCTCCTCCTCATCTCCCCTCCTCTCCCTCTCCTACTCTTTTCTCTCCTCCTCCTCATCTCCCCTCCTCCTCTCTCTCTCCTCCTCTCCCTCTCCTTCCCTCTCCTCTTCCTCTCTCCCCTCCTCTCCCTCTCCTCCTCCTATTCTCTCTCCTCCTCTCCCTCTCCTCCTCTCCCTCTTTTCACTCCTTCTCTCCCTTTCCTCTCTCCTCCTCTGCCCTCCTCTCCCTCTCCCTCTCCTCCCCTCTCCTCTCCCCTCCTCTCCTTCTCTCCCCTCCTCTCCCTCTCCTCTCCTTCTCTCCCCTCCTCTCCCTCTCCTCCTCTTTTCTCTCCTCCTCTCCCCTCCTCCTCTTTCCTCCTCTCCCTCTCCTCCCCTCTCTTCTCCCCTCCTCCCCTCCTCTCCCTCTCTCCTCCTCTCCCTCTCCTCCTCTCTCTCTCCTCTTCTTCTCTCTCCTCCTCTCCTCTCTCCTCCTCTCTCTCTCTCTGTCCTATTTTCCGTCTGCAGAGGATGACAGTGGTTGTGACTGTTGATCATCGTTAATCTGATCCTCCTTAATCTAATCTAATCCCATCACAGCAGCTGCACAGACGGAGGTGAGGAGTTCACTGATTGTTGCAAAAACACTCAAATCTGTCTCAAAAAAACAAACATATTTATCACAGTTTTTCACCTCAGACACAGAAATCTATCTTTTTAAAATGAGACTGAAAAACACTGAAGAGACAGAAGCAGCAGCAGCCTCAGATTACGAGGAGCAACAGACTGCCTTGAAAAAGAGGCTCTTAATCTCAATGGGTCTGGTAAGACCTCTGAAGCTAAGCAGGGCAGGGCCTGGTTAGTACTGTGATGGGAGACCTCTGGGAACAGCAGGTGCAACAGTGGGGCGGCTGTAAAGTGCCAAACTGTGGTTGTGTCCTTAGGCAAGACACTTCCCACACATTAGAATGAGTCTGGTGTGTGTGTGAATGGTTGTTGGTGGTGGGAGGGACCGATAGCACAGACTGGTTGCCTCGCTTCTGCCAGTGTGCCCCAGGGCAGCTGTTGCTACTGTAGTGGTTTATCACCAAGAAGAATTATGAAGAGAGACTTTGATAGTCCAAAAAAGCACTATCTAAAAAAACAATGCGTTATAATCATTATTATTATTGTTATTCTTATTATTAACTGCTGTTTCATGTTCCTTCGCATGACTTTATGTGTCCATGGTCTTTGTCTCCATGGTTACTGAGGATAACTTACATTTCCTCTTCAGATAAAGATGGTCGTGTGTGTCTCTGTGAGTGCGACGCAACCCACCCCCTGTTCGGGTACATCCTCCAAAAGACGCCGGTATTGGTCTTTTTAACATTTCCTATCGAGTCAATTGCAGCTCAAGCGATTATTTTCCCATAATCCAATTTGTCTTTGTACTTTGGACTCATGTGCCGCTGCTACAGCAGTCAGATTCCTGCACAGAGCAATATCCGATCCAATAACATCGGCTTAGCTTCTATGCTATTACACAGATGTAGCCGCTCTGGTCTCAATCTTCCTGTCCCTCAGAATCAGAGACAGACCAAATGAACGGACCGGTGGTTATTTGTGCCTTTGATTGGATTTGTATTGATCCAAAAAAGCATCCAAAAGTGCAAGAGTAAGCCCCGGCGTCGCACACACAGGCACAGAGCCGAGCCGGGCCGGGCCAAATGACTGCTGGTGATTTGGGGTTAAGTATTGTTCATTGCTGTTGTTGAGTTAATCTCGCATTAATCTTGATATTGTTTTATTTTCGATATTAAAGGAGTGTAATGACAGCGTAATCCCACATTTGTCCCGGAGCAGAAACGATGAGGACATTACTGCGGAACGTGCTCGGAAAGACTCGGAAAGACTCGGAAGATGAAGATATGAACCAGTCCAGAGGTCGCAGACTGGTTCTTGACTGGTCCTGAACCAGCAAGAGAGACCTGAGTGAGAGAGACCTGAGCGAGAGAGACCTGAGTGAGAGAGACCCGAGTGAGAAAGACCTGAGTGAGAGGGCTGAGTGAGAGAGACCCGAGTGAGAGAGACCCGAGTGAGAGAGACCCGAGTGAGAGAGACCCGAGTGAGAGAGACCTGAGTGAGAGACACCTGAGTGAGAGAGACCCGAGTGAGAGAGCTGAGTGAGAGAGACCCGAGTGAGAGAGACCAGAGTGAGAGAGACCCAAGTGAGAGAGACCTGAGTGAGAGAGACCTGAGTGAGAGAGACCTGAGTGAGAGACACCCGAGTGAGAGAGACCCGAGTGAGAGAGACCCGAGTGAGAGAGACCTGAGTGAGAGAGACCTGAGTGAGAGACACCCGAGTGAGAGAGACCTGAGTGAGAGAGCTGAGTGAGAGAGACCCGAGTGAGAGAGACCCGAGTGAGAGAGACCCGAGTGAGAAAGACCTGAGTGAGAGACACCCGAGTGAGAGAGACCTGAGTGAGAGAGCTTAGTGAGAGAGACCCGAGTGAGAGAGACCCGAGTGAGAGAGACCTGAGTGAGAGAGACCTGAGTGAGAGACACCTGAGTGAGAGAAACCAGAGTGAGAAAGACCCGAGTGAGAAGGCTGAGTGAGAGAGACCCGAGTGAGAGAGACCCGAGTGAGAGAGACCCGAGTGAGAGAGACCCGAGTGAGAGAGACCTGAGTGAGAGAGACCTGAGTGAGAGACACCCGAGTGAGAGACACCCGAGTGAGAGAGCTGAGTGAGAGAGACCCGAGTGAGAGAGACCCGAGTGAGAGAGA